AACCCATTTCAAATTAACTTAGGGATGGTGAGTGGTACACGAAAGAAGGAAAAACCATGAGAAACGGCCCAGAACCCGAGAAATGGGACCCCTTCCTTGCCCGTTGATTTGCGCATTGATGCGACTCTCATCGCTGTGCCCTCTTCAACACTACGCTCTCTATCTAATCACTCGCCACGTATAGACCTGCGGCGAGTGATTAGATAGTCGGTGGGCGTACCCCGCCAACCGCGCCAAGAGTGAGCCTAGGTCGCCGAGGTCAAATCTTTCGGTGCCAATTGCGCGTCAGTCCGCACCCTCAGGAGGTCTCCTCAACTAGGTGAATTACTTTTCTTCGACTCCTCCTTCAAGATAAGAATGCGAGTGCTCATGGTATGTAATAGACTCATTAAAGCGTACTTCTGATACAAATCCGTGCCCCTCAATATCCGTGCCCCTTCAAAGAAATCCTGAAAATTTCACCTTCTACAGTCCAAGGAACGACCCTGGACCAGGTGAATGGACCCTCTGCTCAGTTCTAAGGTGGAGAGGCTCCTGGGTGGATGACATGGTGCAGAAAGCTAGATAGAATGTGGGCAGGATGAATTGGATGTGTTGAAGAAAGGACATTTCCCAGTCCTTATCATGAGTCAAAGAGCTTTAAATGAGTCGTTTACCTTTATCTTGTCCTTAACGTTAGAGAGCCAAAAGGAGTGCTCTCCAATACAAGGATTAGATAACAAGGAATGTCCCCACCTCTCCCCTCTCCAAACTTGATCTTCACCCAATTTCACTTTTTCATGCCAGAGGGACAACAAAAATGGTATACGCATGACCGCTAATCCTTCTATTCTACATAATATCTTTACCCCATCCAAAAGTTTGCGACTTCCTTCTCAATGAAAAAAGCTAGATTGGAACAAAAACATAGGTATTAAAAACATCAAGCCGAATTGGCATTTAGCTACCCATTTCGCGTCTTGGAATGAGGCCGAAATGCTAATAAATCGTCTTTCCTATCTCCCCTCAAGAAACTGCTGCATGTACAGCCTCCATAATTTTCAGGAAGGTCGTCTCTGTTATAATCGATGTCACGCAGTTTGGAGTAGCAACCGTGTATTTGCTGCTATCCGCCAAAAATATTCACGATATGGTCAAGGTGAGGAAGTGCAGCGACATTGTGACTTCATGCTCGCCTGCTAGAGAAATGATTTTTCAGACGTTCACCAATACGGAATTCAGCTACTGTATTGTCGTCTTAATAGTGGCAGTGTGCCTGTTGCCAGTTACTTATCTTAAATCTCCTCAAGATTTCTGGTAAGTGTCTCCTAGCAGAACATTACTAACACAGTGATATCTTCAAATGATGTAGAACCCAAGAAGATTCGAACCCTTACAGATTACACTATGAAATCTCTACTACTAATACCGAGTTCAGTGTGCTCAAGATACTCGACTGCCTATTAAACCATATACTAGCCATCGGCTTATTCGTCTTCTGTGGAAGAGTAAAGGAGAATGGGTTTTGCAGGATTCATAGTATGGGGACAAACTTGCTACCAAGACATGTCCGATGATGGGCAGAGCCCGACCAAATGGGAGCGGAGTGGTGCGAAACCCTCAGCTCTGTGTAGTGGAATCTCCGTTATCATGCTAAGAGAGACCATATTTCAATACAGACCCAAGAAGAAGAAGGAGGTTATAATCAGGCAGTCGGAGCAGTCAGGGGTTCAAGGCAGGGTCAACCGTCCGTTGGACAAAGTCCAACGCGACGACGAGAGTAATGCCGAGAGTGAACGTACGCACGGAGACACAGACGGCTCGCGGGTGGCGAGAGTGAATGCCGGCGCGGAGAGCGGTGAACATCGGTCCAACGTCGCTCCAATATCGGTCCAACGTAACGGTTGACCCTGGTTAAGGGTTTCTGTACATATTGCTAGAGACACTATAGACGAGTAGGGCCTCATAATTTATTCTATCGCAAAATTTTGAAGTTAGCAAAGAAATTCCCTACTGGTCAAGGTCGATTGAAAATACGGAATTTCGCGTGAGGGGTAGGAAGAGGTAGGGAATTGCACCACTAGCATTTGATGACCCCCTTTTCCACACCTCGACCACCATATTCCTCTCTATAGTATTTAAATTCTGGTACCACTCAACCCACCAAACTCCGCCCACTTTTTCCTCCAAAAATGCCGTCGAGCGGGGGGGGGTATATACGCGCGCTGAAACGGCAAATTTTTCTCCCGTGCGCTCCCAACTCACCTAGCCTACTAC